GAGAAAGTTTCTCATTATTACGAGAAACTAAGTCATTATTATGAGAAAATAAGTCATTATTTCGAGAAACTAAGTCATTATTACGAGAAAGTTTCTCATTATAACGAGATACTAAGTCATAATTTTGAGAAAGTTTCTCATTATTATGACTTACAGAATTATATTTTTTTATTTAGTGGCGGAAACGGGCTTCCATATATTTCAGCTTTTTCCATTTACCGAAAATTATTTTTAATAATTTTAGTTAATATTAACACTGCTTACACGCACAACCCCCCCCCAAACTAAGGGCTAAAATAAAATCCTGTGTTTCCCATTGTAATTACGACATTGTGGTGCTGTTCATGTGCATTCAACTTAGAAATACAATCTTTCATACATGACTTGAATGGCTTGCCTGTTTAAGCATGCGAGCGTGGTCATTGGATCGGCCACTGTTCTGAAGCTCCAGCTCTTTATTTCTAATGTTGAGACGACTCAGTTGAGACCTTAGCTCTTCCACTTCAGCAGAGAACCTCACCTGAGATGAACTCTGGCTCATTAACTCCTCTGCAGAAATGAGAAAGATGATAATTAAATTAAAGGAAGCAGAACAATCAGTGAACAAGCTGGTGATCTCAAGTGTCATATGACAAAAGCAATAATTTCAATAGAGATGTAAAAATCAACACTGGAACAATTAACATTAAACAGACTGTCAACTTATATACTACTAAAACGGTAGATGTTTATATTGTAATTAAGGCTTTTTAGTTCATGTTAAATTACTCATCTAAAAAAAAAAAACAATCATGCCACGTAATCCTAGGTTTAAATTCTGTAAAAAGACATTTTCCTATACCCTCAAAACAATTTAAGCTTGAAGTACCACAATTATGCTTTAGCTTTGTTCCCTGAGAAACAAGACAGATGCAGCGCAATGGAATGGAACAGAATGCTCAGATCTTGAGACACATTTTTCAAATTTTGAACTTGACAGCGAAAACAGGGCACTTATGCTGGGAGACTGAAAAAAGAGGTGTGACGCAAAAGGCAAAGACGTCCATCTGACACATGTCTGCGTGGACCAACAATTATAGAAATAATACTGACAAAACACTGAAAATATGTCTTGTGAACGGCCCCTAAATCTACCTCGGACAGACGGGCAAACTTGATTGCAAAAAGTGAATGTCTGTGGACTGTAGGCTTCTGTTCAGTGATATGGAAGTAAAACTAACCTATGGATATATTTATAACTTTTTATTTTGTCTATTTAATTATTTACTAGCCTCTCTTTGAAATATTTTCTACCAAATATTGATTTTGAAATATTGAAGCTAATAGTCTGATTAATTATTTAGCATATCTGATTAATTTGATGTCTAATGATGACAAATATAAGTACACAAGCCTTTCACTGATCTGTACTGTGCATGTGCACCTGACTTGCTCTGTAGCTCATTCTCTTGCAGTAATAATCGTTCTTTGGCTACAGCTAACTCCTCCTCTGCCTTCTTTGCCACAGCATCAGCCTCGGCCACCCGGTGACGCCCATCCTCCAACTGCTCCTCCAGGTCCTGTAAAAGAAATGAGTAACACGAATCAGCATAACTATTACAATTGCTTATACTTAAGCTGGGTCTACACTACACAATTTTCAAAGTCATCAGATTAATGCTCCTTTCAGTCGTTTGCATGTTACATGACGGATCAGAGACTGGGGGTCCGACCACTCTGACCACTCTGTCTTGTGTAAAAAATGGAAGCGCGAGAAGTGATACAGGAATGTAAGGCTATGACTCCTCCCCCTGAAATTTCCCTTGCCCTGTATCTTGCTCTCTCATTGGCTGTAGATCATTGGCGATGATATTTCCAGTCAAAATACATTGCAAGGCTCTGAGCATAGGCATCGTATCGGCACTTCTCTCAGATCACCTCATTCAATCGTCACTCATGTGAACAAGCACAGATCTTCCTCAGATTTTGGGCTTTTGTCCACAATTTATGGCCTAAAATTGTGCAGTCTATACCTGGCATTAGGGTTAGAAGGAAATCCCTTACCATAGGTATTAACCTACAAAGCATAACTTGTACTGTTTGTGATATGCACATGAACTATATTTCAAATCGTGAGGATCACTGAAGAGAAAATATCATAGACTTGCACTGAAGGAAGCACTAAATCCTTCTGTATTCTTCTTAGCTGTTATTTTCTTCTTTTTTTCCTAACTTAAGAATATGATGTATTGCTATTTTGTATTTCGTAAGAATGTTCTTTTTTTTTCAAGATTTCTTGGATCGCCAATGCCATGCAATAAGAAAACACCAAAGCATGTCATTTTCTTCTTAAGAAAAAAAAAATGTTCTTAAGAAGATATGTGATAACTTCTCGAGAATTTTTCAAGAATTGCACTTTGGAACAATCTTATGAACTTCCTAGAATGTATCTTATTATTCACTTTCTTAACTTCTTTCTTAAGAAGATTTTCATGAGAATATCACAACAACTACCCAGAACACCCTAGAAACCACATAGTAACACACTAAAAACCGCTACAAACACCTCAGAAACTGCATTGCAACAACCTGACAAACACCCTAGCACCACTCACATTTTCTTAAGAAACTAAAAAATGTAGTTGTCCATTATTCTGCTGGATCCTCTTATTGAATGATCCTGCAGCAGAAATGAACAACCATAACGGCATCATCTGTCAGGCCCATGAAGCCCAAGATGACTTTAATCAGTCAATTCTGGCCGCCTCATGAACACTTTGAGCCCACGAACCTTTGATTACATCACAGCAGCTGCTCTGAGTTTGCAGATCTGAGGTGCCTCTGATTAATTTTCTGTCAAGGATGTAGTGCCAAAGCAGAGAGGGTGTTACTCATCTCACTCTGTGCCTGGCATTTTATTTAGTGAAGATACTATATTACATTTAGTATGTAAAAAGCTGCATCAGAGACGGTGGAGTCAATGTTGCATGCCTAGCAACTCTTACTGATTTAATCACTTGGCTTTATCCTGTTCTAAATACTAAATGTAACGACTTACTTTTGTGTCCGACTTAAAAAAAAGCCTATGTTATTTTTATATTCTGCAGGTTCTGTGCAGATTTTGCTGTAGAAAAACTGACTACAGATCTGTGGGATATTGTCACAGACTGTTTAAGTCGGGTATGCCATCTGTTTCTACACAGCTGTGTGTGTCTGAGTGATGGTAATTGTGGGTGTTTGTCTGATCCCTCTAATCTCTGTCTCAATTCGATTCGGAAGTGTCAGTCACAGCAGTAATTACTGCCCCCTTACACTGAGACGAACACCCTGCTGAAAGGTCAGTTACAAATGGTCAGTCAAGTGAATTTATGTGAGATGTCTTGTAAAGCAATACTGGTTTGTGTGTACACAATGAGTGTTTTGTTTTTGCTATGCATAAATAGAAACATTTATATTCGCCACATACATCTTCATGAATTATCAGGCCTGGAAATGACAATTTTCAGTTTTTCCATGATGATAATGTAAGACGAGCTCGTGGTTGAAATTTTAAAAAGTGTCACATTTTATATTCAGTTTTTAAATCTTCATTTCATTAAACCTAATTATTCTCACTTTTGGCTGGTTCTGTCTCCACAGCGGATCACCTGCATATTTATTTGGCATATGTTTTATGTCGGATAACAAAAATAAAATCTAAATATACTGAATGTCTATTATATGTATATTGTATATTAAATAGAATTATGCACTAAAAAAAGATAATAAATGCTGATAAAATTACAGTAAATCTAATGGTCATAAATTGACACTTAAATAATAATTTATATATATATATATATATATAAATAAATAATAAAAATTTAATGAAAAAAATGAAACCATAATAACTGTGGCCAAAACTGCTACTGGTGTCCATTCAAAAAAAAAAAATATTCTGACATTTTTATATGACATTTTATCTATATGTGACCCTAGAGCACAAAACCAGTCTTAAGTCGCTGGGGTATATTTGTAGCAATAGCCAAAAATACATTGTATGGGTCAAAATGATAGATTTTTCTTTTATGCCCAAAATCATTAGGATATTAAGTAAAGATCATGTTAAATGAAGATATTTTGGAAATGTCCTACTGTAAATATATTAAAAGTAAATTTTTCATAAGTAATATGCATTGCTAAGGACTTAATTTGGACAACTTTAAAGGCAATTTTCTCAATATTTTGATTTTTTTGCCCCCTTAGATACCAGATTTTCAAATAGTTGTATCTCGGCCAAATATCCTATCCTAACAAACCATACATCAATGGAAAGCTTATTTATGCAGCTTTCAGATTATGTATAAATCTCAACTTCGAAAAATTGACCCTTATGACTGGTTTTGTGGTCCAGGGTCACATTCATTGAGGCTCTTTTGTAGTGTCTTCTCAGCTGCCTTCTGCTCCTCCCTCCTCTCTTCTTCCATCTCCTTGACGCTCTTCTTCCACTCCTCCACATCTCTCTTCCATTCCTTCTCCACTCTCTCTTTCTCCTCCCTCAGAGCCTGTAGCTCCTTTCTTACCGTTTTCAACCTTTCTTCACACTCCTCCTCTACTCGTTGTCTTTCCTGTGACTCTCGATTCCTCTCCTCCATCTCTCTCTTCCTCTCCTCCTCCACTCTATGCATCTTCTCCTCCTCCTCTCTCTTTCTCTCTTCATCTCTGGCTCTACGTAGCTCTTGGCACTCATTCTCCAAGCGCTTGTTTTCTTCCTGTGTTTGTTGCAGTAATTTGTGTTGGTTGTCTCTATCTGTCTGCAGGTTCTGGTAGTCTCTGTGCAGATCTGATGTCTCTTGGGTTAACACGGCTATGCGCTCCGCATACTCTATTTCAGCCCTCTGTCCACGCTCCTCCACCTGAAATGGATACACATCCACACATCCTAAGAAAATAAAGTGATACTCTCCATGTTGTATTTAATATAATGAGTCCATTTACAGAATACGTGTGTATGTGTGACCATTTTTGTTTTTACTTCCTCTACGGTGGCCTGCAGCTCTAGAAGGCGTGTCCTCAGAATAAATGCTGACTCCTCCTCTTCTTCATCCTGACCTGTGGTTGGCTGGAGGCTGCCCTGCGTCTCCGTGGCAACACGGCGTAGGGACTGCAGAGTTGCCTCTTGCTCCTCATTTTTAGTGTTTAAAGAATATATCACCTATGCATAAAACACACACACATAAATATAATTAAAACACAGTTATAATGGCAAGACAAGGATTGCGGTCCACGTGTGTATGTTCATTTCATGCTCTTAAAAAATAAAGGTACTTTATTGGCATTTATGGTTCCATGTAGAACCTTTCCATGAACCTTTCAATGCACAAAATGTTCTTTATAGTGAAAAATGGCTCTTTAGATTATAAAATGTTCTTTGCTCTAAGAAAAAAAATGGTTCTTTTAAGAACTGTTCATTGAAAGATTCTTTGGGGAAACAAAAATGGTTCTTCTGTTGCTGCGAAAACCCCTCTTGGAACCTTTATTCGTAAGAGTGTAGTTCCAGGCCTATAGCGCTAAACAAAGAGTCTTGTTCTCACTGATGAAATCTTTCACCTCTCTGATTGAACCAGTCATACACCCACAGTCTGCAGTTACTGAGCTGCAGTTTATCTAGTACATGTGTGTCTGTTTACGCTCTGCAGATGTCTGTGTTAACCTTCTACGAGTGCTTGCGATTGGTTGTGCACAGCTGTTCGACTGTGTTTGGCATTTTCACATTAGTGTCCCCTGGCATTTTTCAAGCATTAGAGGCACTAATCCCTCAACACAAATAATTGTTGTGAGAATGGTTATATATCTTAAATAAATTATCTAACATGAAATTAAAACAACATGAAAACGTAATCCAACAATTTTGGCAACCTGTTGAATCGGTAAAATAAGAAACCACAATTCCCAAGTCCCACTTCCCACATTATGTGCACAACTCAATAACCTTGTATGTTCTCCGTTACAAAAAAAGTAACATTCTGTGAAGTTCGCAAGTTCTGAAGAAATAATTCATTGACACCTAAGATTAAACATTAATTGCACCCTTTCTGCAGTAAATTATTTGTTTACAAAATTCTTACAAATACAGTGTGATGACTTTATTCTTTAAGCTAAATCATATAATATATATATATATATATATAGATATTATTCCAAAGACAAATGCTATTGTTTGTACTGAGATTGTATTTTTTATATTCGTAAACCCTCCCCAACCAACCCAAAACAGACTGCCTATTATAGATAATAATAATAATAATAATAAAGTTAAAAAAAAATTAAAATAAAACAAAGATAACAAAAATGCAATAGTTGAATGACTACAAAAAAAAAGTAATTGGATACTACAATCAGGTATTATACAGTGTCATTTCACTGTGATGAACAACATAAACCCTACATAAGGGAGGGGTGAGAATAAGAAGAAATTGCAATAAAAATATAAATCCCATTACTCCCCAGGAAGCACATTTATATCAGAGAAATATGTTTGCCAGACATAAAAGAATTTATGGGAACCTCTAATTGAATATTTAATCTTTTCCAAGTGTAGGTATAACATCAAATCCTGAAGCCAGTGTGATGCTTTAGGTGGATTTGTAGATTTCCAAAGTAATAAAACCAATAAAACTGCGAGCCAATAAGGATGCAAAGGCAATAATGTTTAGTTGTCTTTGAGTCAGACTCGATTCAAACACCAAATATTGCAAATTCGGCACATGGCTTCAGCTGTACTTCACACACTTTAGAAAGTGTATTGAATATGATTGACCAGTAAGCCGTAAGCGTAGGGCACATCCAAAACATGTGAGTCAGGTCCGCTTCACCTGTGTGACACCTTATACAGGTCTTGTCAAAGGTAGGATTAAAAGAGGCAATCCGTGTTCTGCTTAAGTGCATACGGTGCAATACTTTAAACTGTATTAAACTCAATCGGGCACAAGGGGTACTCCTATTCACTCTACGTAGGGCATTGTTCCAAAGTTCCTCTCAAAATATTAGTTCCATCTGCTTCTAATCTTGTCTGTGCCTACACTTTTTAAAGACATGATAATTGTATATATTCTTGAAATAAAGCCTTGTAGATGAAAGTGTACTTCTAACAGAGTCAGCAGAAGACTTGAGGGAATGTTTGGGAATGATGGGCTTTGAGCATTCACAAAATGTGAAAATAACATCTGAAAATAACGGAAAAGGTTATTTTTTGATTAAGATTGAATTTGGAACGCAGATCATTAAATCTTGCAAAAAGACCATCAATATAAAGATGTTCTTATCTTGCCACCGTTTAAATGCAGAGTCTAGTTTGGCAGGGAGGAATGCATGATTATTGCATATTGGGTTCTGAAGCAAAAGTGCTTGTCTTAACGTCAAATGCTGACATAGCGGAGTCCATATTTTAAGAGTGACGTGAACAACTGGATTTGTTGTGTTTTCTGCTATTTTAATAGGTAAACTAGATGTTACTAGGGCTTGTAAAGAACTTACTGTGCAGGATTTAGATTCTGTTTCATACCAATCAGTACCTCCTGGTGAGCGCATCCAATAGATTAGCTTTTGGACATTATTCGCCCAATAATAATATAAAAAGTTAGGGAGAGCTAAACATCCTATTTTTCTGGAGAAACTCTTTCCTGAATCCTAGGGGTCTTCCCATCCCATAAAAATGGGAAATAAGTTTATCTAATGTGTTGAAAAAGGCTTTGGATAAGAAGATAGGGAGGCACTGAAATAGATATAAAAATCTAGGAAGAACTGTCATTTTAACACAGTTCACCCAGCCAACCAAAGACAGATGGAGAATCTTCCATTTTAGAAGATCAGCTTTAAATTCAATCAATAGAGGAGTAAAATTATAGTCCTTTAAAGTTTTGTGTGATATTAATACCCAGATATTTAAACTCCGACCTTGCCATGCGAAAGGGAAACACGGAGTCAGGCATATGCCTGGCAAGTGTATTAACAAGCATGCACTCACTTTTGGAAATATTCAACTTGTAGCCCGAGAAGGTCCCAAAATGTTGCCAGACTTTGATAATATCATTGATGCATGATAAAGGATCTGAAATGTATAGAAGCAGGTCATCAGCATATACTGAGAGATTATGTTCGACACCCCACCTTATATGCCATGAAAAGAGGGTGTGGATTTTAATGCTATAGACAATGGTTCAATTGCAATTGTAAATAAAATGGGGCTTAACGGGCCGAATGCAGAGTGCCGCTTGACAAAGAAAATTTTTTTGACCTCCATTCATTAGTAACCACGGAAGCAACTGGAGAAGTATACAACAGGTGGATCCATTCAATAAATCTGGTGGCGAATCCAAACCTATCCATAGCGGTTAAAAAGATAATCCCATTCCACTCGATCGAATGCCTTTTCGGCATCTGATGATACTACAATTTCAGGGGTGTCTTGAGATGAGGGGGGGGGGGGGTAAATAACAATTAAGAGGCGACGGATGTTGGAAAATATGTGCCGACCTTTTATAAAGCCGGTCTGATTTGCTGAGATGATATTGACTAGTGGAGACTCTAAACGAATAACCAGTAACTTTGCTAAAATTTGACATCTGCTTTTGACATTTTTCAAAGAAATTGGTCGATATGAACTACATTGTGTTGGGTCTTTCTGTGGCTTTAACAAAAGTGTAATCAATGCTTCGGTAAGGGACTTTGGCAGAGTTCTTTGAGATAAAGAATGTTCAAACATACTGAGAAGGAGTGGAGGTAATTTAACAGAAAATTTCTTATAAAATTTGATGGGAAACCATTGGGGCCCGGGGGCCTTGCCGCTCTGCAATGCTGACATGGCCTCAGATATTTCTTGCAGTTGAAAGGGGGTGATCTAAGTCTTTTTTATGTTCTAATGAAATAGTGGGGACATTTATTTTATCAAAAAACTACCAGTGTTTCTGATGTATAAAGACTAGAATAAACGTTCATAAAAATGTTGTTAATTGTAAGGTGATCAATTGTCAATTGCCCAGCATCGTTTGCAATTTCAGAAATGTGTGGTGCTGATCACCTGGATTTAAGTTGATGGGCTAAGATATATAAGATATATACATATACATACAAACATACGTGTGTGTGTGTGTGTGTATAACAGTAAAGCCCAACATTTGTTCCCAAACCAGTTAGTCCCTACTGAGTGGTAGTTTAATTAAGGCTAAATTTCCAACCCTGTCACCCATAATGCATTATTTTTCAGTTTAACTTAAATTTAACTTTATTTAAAACTCCAGTCCGCAACTTTTGGTGCTCTAGCGGTTAATAAGCAGAACTGCATGCATCTTGTGGAAGAACATTGTAGCCGGAGCTACTTCTCTCTGTTTATATCTATGTCGAGTCACGCAGGTACTGGGCTACTCCACAGCGGTGCTGATTTTGTAAAAACTTAAAAAGCACACACACACACACACACGATTATAAGCTGCATTATTGCTGGAAGTCGTGGCCTAATGGTTAGAGAGTCGGCCTCGTAACCCAAAGGTTGTGGGTTCAAGTCTCGTACCAGCAGGAATTGTAGGTGGGGGGGGTATGTACAGCGCTCTCTCCCACCTTCAATACTGAGGTGCCCTTGAGCAATGCACCGAACCCCCAACTGCTCCCTGGGCACCTTTACTGCTCCGGGTGTGTGCACTTTGGATGGGATAAATGCAGAGCATACTTGGCCACATGTCACATCACTTTTTAACTTTCACTAAGTGAACAGAAAATAAAATAATCCTTTCACTGACCATTTGTCAAAAAAATAAAATAAATGAAAAAAAAAACCTTTTGCAGAAAGTGTCGTTTCATAACACAGTGTAATCTGTGAGCATTTGTGTATTTGTGTCTGAATGTGTAGGCATATGAGAGAGTCCTAATATTATGTGTCACTTTGGCTATCCATCAATGTGTCCTACCCACAAGTCCCCATGCTTGGGGTGTCATCAGATTCCCAACATCTCACTCATCCCTCCAGCGGGTCGTGTGCTACCATGACGCCTGACTGTCTGTCGTTAATCGCCACCGCAGCAGAGCTGGACATTCCGTATGATAAACTGCCAGGAAGTCACCGTCTCCTTCTCACCCATCTTTCTCTCTCCACCTCTTTTCCTGTCCCCCACAGTGTTTCTGTAAGCCGACCACCTTCTCTCTTTTTCTCTTTCTCTCTCTCTGTCCTCTGACTATAACTTTCACCTTCGGTCAATTCCCTGCCTCTCACTCTCTCTCTCCCTCTCAGTCCTTGAACATGAACTCATGTTTTACGGTGCACAGAATAAAAGGGAAAGTAATGTCATATATCTGTACGACTGAAATGTCTGCTAGCTTTATATAGAGCAACAGCACTCATAACTTAACTAGCAGACCGGAATGGACTGGGACAGGGAGAAAATTAGGATAAACAGCAGATTATAGGAATAGATTTTTTGTTTACATAAATTACTATTTTAAATAGAAAGTGCTGAAATACCTGTCTCTCTCTATCTATTTGTCCTTGTTTTCATTCTCTGCAAACATGGCACCCTGCCTTACTAAGATCCATACTAATGAAATCTGATACATGCTGTCTTGCTTTCCTTCTCCCTCCTTAACAAACACAAATGATAGAAGCATCTGTGCCTGTTTCTCTACCCATTTGTCCACATTTCAAAAACTGCTTATGACAGCCATTTCTGACACGGCTAGTGAATTTATTGTCGGTGCATTTGCATGTGTGAAGGCATGTTTACACGAAGAACAATAACTATAAAGATAACTAAAACGATAAATATTTAGCATCCACTCCAACACATAATAACATTCAGTTTTTTCTAAGCATGTGCCGGTTTAAAAGCTGTTAAAAGTCAAATAGATTCAGTCAATGTTTTTATCATTTATCAGCTGAAAAAAAAAAACAACATTCTGAAAGTGGTTCCAAAATACCATTCATCTGATCCGTTATACTGTGGACTTCCTTATTTTCATACATTTAGAATGATTATTAAAACTTTATAGTTAGTCATCATTATTATCATTAATGTGAATTACCCTTAGCCCTACAAAAGTCTGTTAAACATGGCTGTTTAGCTACTGTGAGTAGCCTAACCACATTTTGTCTGTCTAATGTTTGCAGCCTAGCCAGGCTTTTGACATTTTCTGGCCAAGAACTCCCCAAGTGGCCATCTGATATGTAAAATGACCAACCACTGTTTGTTTTGGTTTATCTGATATAGATGAACAGTTGTACAGGAAACAACCATTTATTAATGGAAATTTGTGCAGACATTGAGATTACAATTTCTATTCAAAAGAAAGAAGTATTGATTTTTTTCACAGATAGAAATCTGCTTGAAATATTTAGTTTGCTTACTTCTATGTGAATCCAGCAAAACTCTGAACAGTTTTCAAAGATGTGAAGCAACAAACATCACAAACATTTGACAAATCCAGTGATTAGTTATTCCTCATAAATGTTCATAATTTCAACCTGGTACCTTTTAAATATCTGCCAGAATTATAAAAAGATGCAAAGTTAGGTTGCAGTCACTCAAAGCAAACAATGCTTTCTCAAAAGCATTGTTAGCCAGCTCAGCTATGGCCGCAAATTCTATTCTTACAAATACAGTTCAACAAGTCAATGTTTTCCAAAATCATAGTTCCAATGCAAACTCTTTGGTTGGAACTCGACCTGAGGTTAGAAGCATAATTTCTTGCAAGTATGAAATATGTACTTCAATATATCATGCTATTAAAGAAAAAAAGCAAGCTAATATTACAGTACATTCTATATATTTAATTCCATTTAAATTATATATACATTTCAGTCTAAATATTTTAGCCTCAGCTTTAATTAGCACTGTTTTGAAGAGTCTGTAATGTATGTGCATAAATTTGTATGAGAATGAATCAAACATCAAGCAGCAAAATGACAGGTAACCAATATAGTTAAGAAGTCCTTTTTTATTACAGTAGCATCTCAAAGAAATTACGTTGTGGAGAAAGCTGCTGACTAAATGAACCATAAGTGTATGCCAATTATATACTGCATATTAACATGTTGTTTGTGTAAATGAACTACAAAAAAAATCTCACATTAATTGTCATTTTTTAATTAATTAACAAGCAAAATTAATTTCTCCACCACCTGTGTTTAATGTAATTAACCATAAGTGTATGCCAATTATATACTGCATATTAACATGTTGTTTGTGTAAATGAACTACAAAAAAATCTCACATTGTCATTTTTTAATTAATTAACAAGCAAAATTAATTTCTCCACCACCTGTGTTTAATGTAATTAATGAATAACTGATAAACTCAAAATATGTAACAGTTAGCTGTGAGTTGCGTTGTTGTATGGGAAACACACCCCTGATTGGACCTTAAAGTTTTCATACGTTTTTTTAGCATTTAGTGTCATGCCACCCATGACATTCCCATCATGCTCTTATATTAATAATAGACTGAAGTAGATCAAATCTCCTATGCTCCTGATTGGTAAAAATAGTGTGGCTTGGTGTGTATCATTACTAAGTGTCAAAAAAGCTGAGCCGAATGTAGAGAGGGTATGACTCACACATCTGCTCTAATAGACACACACACACACAGCTAAAGATATCTATTAGGAGTATGTTTACATGATGATAGAGAGAGGGATTCCACACAGCTGTGACATTCAAGCTCAGGCATACTCTCACATACACACTCCTGCATGCATATATACACACGCACAGCATGGCAGGTTTGAATTTCGAGCCCTGACCTTTTGTTTAGAAAGACGCCATTTTTTTTATTTGACAAGAATAAAAACAAGGCTTTGAGGGACATATGTACAGGCCGCTCATTAGCTTGTACTGTTGCACATATACCTGGGTCTCCAACATTCAAAAAATATAAATGCTTTCCAAAAATCAATTCCAGATGAAGAAAGTCCATAGAAAAGGCTTACATCCCCACAGCCTTGTTTTCACTCTCAGTAAATATGGCATCTTCCCTAATAAAACCTGATACATACTCTCTCACTTCCCTTCTCCCACCTTAACAGTTCCAAATGACTGTGTATGCATTAGCCATTAATAGTGTATAGATATTAAAGCCTTTAACCTCTGTTTTCACACTTTATAAATGGCCAAGAGGGTCATCATTTTTCACACAGCGACAGATATAGTTATCGCTATTGATTTTATCATACATCATCAAGGTGCAGTTTAACAAAAAACACATAATTCAAACTGAAACTCCAGGTTGGCATTATAGGGAAGTTTGTGTAAATGCATTTGCTTCTATTAAGAAGTTCTTTGTTGCTAAACTAAATGTTGTGCTCATTTACTTTTAATTTCATGTGTTCAGTGTGTGGGCTATGTTGTAGGTTGTTTAATCTTTTGGTATTTTAATTCATGTTTTTTTTATCCAAAGTGACATTTGGATGTACATTTTTGGATGTACAGTATTATTGTATATTTTGTATATTTAAGTGCTCTATTCCAAGGCCATAGAGAATACAAGATTTTAAGCCTTATTTTAAGCAATATTTGAAGAGTTTGCAAAACCAGATAACTCTGTTAACAATTTTAACAATTATGTTAAATGTAACAATGTAACAATTTTCAAAATTCATGTTTTTTCATTCCGGTTAATGTCAATCAAACTGTAGTTTGGTTATTTTGATTAGGTAAAAAAAGAACTAAAAAATACAGCTAACTAACAAAATAAAACACAATAAAAACATGATAACATAATAAAAAACATGATTATTGAAAATTAAAAAAAATAAAACGGAGTTATCTGTTTTGCAAATAAACTCTTCATTTTTCTTTTACAGTCCTAATAAAGATGACCAAAAATTATAAGGGTTCAAAAAAGTAAAGGCCCAAATGACTATGTATTAGCCATTAATTGTGTGTAGATAATACAGCCCTTAACCCTAATGTTTTTATAGTTATTCTTCATTGTTGGCCAAGAGGACAATCATTTTTCAGGCAGTGTCAGATAGAATTATGGCTATTGAATTTATCATACATCATCAAGGTGCAGTTTAACAAAAAACACATAATTCAAACTGAAACTCCAGGTTGGCATTATAGGGAAGTTTGTGTAAATGCATTTGCTTCTATTAAGAAGTTCTTTGTTGCTAAACTAAATGTTGTGCTCATTTACTTTTAATTTCATGTGTTCAGTGTGTGGGCTATGTTGTAGGTTGTTTAATCTTTTGGTATTTTAATTCATGTTTTTTATCCAAAGTGACATTTGGATGTACATTTTTGGATGTACAGTATTATTGTACATTTTGTATATTTAAGTGCTCTATTCCAAGGCCATAGAGAATACAAGATTTTAAGCCTTATTTTAAGCACAAAACTGAAACAAATGTGGCTTAACTGAACTACAATGTAGAAGAGAACTGTCTTTTGCCAAACTGAACTGCGTTTACCTCATCCATATTACAAGCTTCTACGAATCAAAACAACAGGTTGCTGCTTGCTTGTGAAGGGGTGGTTCTTATACACGCATCTAAACCTGATAATAAATAATCACACATTTCTGTTGCCAGCGATCACCCACAGGTCAGATTATTTTAGATGAGCCATTTGCTGCGTGAACTTAAGTAGCCTGCCTTGAACTATATAAACTCCAAAGCGCATCTGATACCAAACAACATCTATTGAAATCGTGACTGGTCTTGGATTACCCTCTGCCTGTTCTGCATCACCTGTAATGGAAAGACAGTGAAGCGACGCCGAGTGCATCAAAACCCTGTTGCATTGCATTCCATCCAGTGCGTCAGGCAGAATAAAATACTGATAATTTATATACATATAATTTACAGAGACAACAATTAATATATAATTTATATTTTATTTATTATATTAATATATATATATATATATTACGGTCTTCTGTGCCTTTAAGTACATGTAAATGATTTAGCGTAAAATATGTAGTAAAGCAGTAGGTAGCAAAAAGAGACATTTGTATGTTTGCATAAATATATATATATATATATGCATGTATGTATGTATGTATGTATGTAGGCTATGTATGTAGACACACATCTGCGGATGTGTGAACGGATATCTAGAAAACAGATAATTCAGATAAAGAGTCCCGTTGAGTATTAAAATTACGCGCTTACCTTTGTCAACTGTGCTATTTTCTTGCACATTTTTGTGTGCATTTGATAATCGTACAGTTCCTGCTCTGCATTCACACCACTGGGGATATCCGCAATAGCGGTCCCGTTACATGCACCGCTGCCGCCGGGGGGTTGGTTCATCTTCCCAGAGCTGGAAGCCATAATAACCCGTTAGAGCACGCTGATTAATCACAAACTGGGCTGCGCAACACCCTGGTAGCCTCTACGAGATCCTGAAGGTAGAGTCCTTACGACAGCCGAAAGCACTGTGCATGCTGCAGCGACCGGCGAACACCCTCCCGCTCCGCCGTGAAGCTGCCTCCGGTGAGTGCACAGCGCACAAGATAATGCCATCCGCGCTCCGCCGCCCCGCGGGACACGACTCACTGACGGCATGTGCCCCCAGCCCGGACACCTGTCTCTCACCCGGGGCGTGACTACAGTCTTACATTACGAGTCACGGGCGGGTCACACTGCAGTGTAATCATGGCCCCTCCCATGAGCACCCAAACGCCCAAGAGCACAACAAACATAAGCTCGCGCAATTTCCACAGCCGCAGTTTCTTTCTGATACCACACACAGTAGTCATTAACTTTGTGAGTGTATAAAGATTTAATTCGCTTTTGTTATGAACAAAACCACAAAAATAAATAAATAAATAAATACAAATAAATGGATTTTCTTTGTCCCCGAACAGTAGAGGACTTAAGAGGGCCAGGTACATTTTAAAGGTAGAAAATTACTTGCGTAAGCTATTTATAATAAATGTGAAAGGTGAAATCCTCATACTCAGCTGAAGCGTATTTCGCTATAACCAGGGGCGGATCTACCGGGTGGCACGGGGTGGCAACTGCCACCCTAAGAAAAAACTGTGCCACCCCACCTGCCAGGCCAGAATTATCACAGAATAAAATATAAATGTTACCAGTGCTTCATGTGCTACTTTTCAGATGCGGCGATGACAGAGTAACGTAAATGAATGGCAAAAACACATCTTTTAACGCAGTGTGCCAGTGTAGTCGGCTTCATTAACAAATTACTCTTATGTATGAACCGGATCTTTTTGAGTCAAAACCACAAAGCGCGACCCAGTTCACTAACGAATTGTTTTTACATTTGTTCGTGTATCAGATAATTACTGCTTTTCGGGTATCTCAGAAGTCCTTTGAGAAATCTAATCCCGTCCTGATGAGATTCATCGCGTAATTGTTGGATGATCCGATTCTCCGACCGCTCGCTCCACTTTCATCATGGATAGCTATAAGCCGTAACAATAAGGTGAAATCAACAAGAAGATGCCGATCACGCAGACTAATAGCAGAGTTAGGTAAGAATGACTAATAGCAGAGTTAGGTAAGAATCTAGTCGTATTGCAGTTTTCTCGATTGTGGTGAAATCAACAAGAAGATCACGCAGACTAATAGCAGATTTAGGTAAGAATGACTAATAGCAGAGTTAGGTAAGAATCTAGTCGTATTGCAGTTTTCTCGATTGTTAATATAACTGATTTTAGTTGGCACTTTCCCCCCCAAACCATTAATTCAGTTTTCTGACAAAGACATTTCTCAAAAAGTTTAACAATGAGTAAGTTAAACATTAGGTAGTAAAACTGATGACACACCAATCAGAATCTCTGCATCCTAACAACAGAGAGAGGAGAGAGCTGAGCCAATCATCTACAGGGGTTTCATACTTACACATACAGTATAATTACAGTACAGTACCAGTAGATAATGGAAATTTCACTATACTATACAGTAAACTGTAGCACATGTTGTACACCTTCAAGCGTGTAACTGTCAAATTTGATTTGTAACCATTTTTTATGTGTACTGCATTTTTGCTGAGAAATGACTGCCTAGAGATCTTGTGTCAGGAGACCAAGTAACTGCTATAGTGCTGTATACTGTAATACAATTTGGCCAAATGTGCAGAGGATGCTAAATTTATTGCTATAAATGTTATTTGTAATTGTACTGTATTGTGGTGCATGCCAAGTTTATACAATTCTTTGGTATTTGAACTTTTCTAGTGCTTTTCATCTACTGCAATATTACTTTACAGTAGTAAAATGAAAATGATTTTTTCCCCCAAAAGTTCATTGCTGAATTATACATCTGTATCTGTAATTTAATTTATGTATACTGCAATAGACATTGAGCTGCAAAAAGAATTCCTGAATCCTAGTAAGCGTTTTTTGTTACAGTGTTATTGATCTCAGTGTTCACTGGGCAGGAAAGTAGTCTGTGTATTTGAATTGTGTTAGCATTTACGGTTTTTTTTTCAACTGCTTACACACAAAATCTTTACTTGCAACACAATTTCTGAAACCTGACACTCAAACAGCAGAAGCACACACCAAATCTGCAAAACCATACACTTATTCTCGGCATTTCAACTTCATAAAACACTTTTTGCAAAACACAACACACCACTGGGGCTCTGTAACACACACAAATCTAACAGGAATTAATATTATGGCAAAGGTGTTTGCAAATGTTTGCTTTTGAGATGTGTTTGTGATATTTTGAATGCAGTGCTTCATTTTGCAAGAGATGCAAGGCATTTTGTGTGTGCAATTCTTGGATTTATGTATAAAGTTTTTTTAAAAAGAGGCAGTTTTGAAAAGTTTGAAAGACAAATTTATGCTGGCTTGTCTTAAAGTCTTGTTTAAAAAACTTATATGTTTGGTCAGTTAGATGTTCTAGATGTTTGCTAAAGTGTTGCTAGTTGGTTGCAAGGATATTCTGGGTGGTTGCTAGAGTATATGGTTGACTTGATAGAGTTTGTTCTGGGTGATTACAGAATACAGACATTCCCACCTCTGTTAATAACAGAAAATCAAACATTGTTTTCAAAACTGATCCAGTTTCAGTGCTTTGATATTATTGTATTTCTTTCTAATGTTAGGAAATTCTAAAGTTTTTGTTGCTCTTAAACATGCACTAAACCATCTAAGTAGTCTATGTAATTTTAATAGAACCGCATGTCTTCGTTAGTGATACAAGCTCAGAAACATTTAAACCTGTTGAAGTTTTTTTTCATATTGTGTATTGATTTGGTGCCATGATGGATATTGAAATGTTACTTATTTTTCATTTTAAACAGTATAGATGATTACTTAATGGTAATACAATATTTGTGAACACAACTGTGTATGTTAGACCATAAATCACCAAAACCTATGCATGGGGGCTTGCTTTGGTGTTGCCACCCCTCATAGACACCATGCCACCCCTTTGCCACCCTAAAAAATATTTTCTAGATCCGCCCCTGGCTATAACCAAGTTATATGCATAGTAATGTACATAATGGTAATTCGAAAATGCATATAGGGCTTTGATATACTGTCAATATTCATACTTACTCGCGTCATTCTACAGGAGTTATTGATCAGAAATGTGCTTTGCTGCCGTCAAAGGAGTTGTGCTACCTACAATCTGACCTACCTTCTCAGGATTATCTGCCAGTAAAAAAAAATACACATTTATTTATTCTATTCTTTCTCAGGTGTTTGTAATTACAGGATAAGTCCATTGTATTTAATCATTGTAAAGACATTTCTTTGTCAGGCTCCAGTAAACTAATTAATACAATTAAACATATATATTAATTAGTGCACAAAGAGACCTCCAGTGAGACAAAAACACGTCCTGAGATTTGAAACGAGAGCTTCTACTAAACAGATTTGAATGCTGCTCTTACTAAGCCCCTGAACGCCCCCTGGAGGATAACCCACGTATTTAGGAAATTCGAGGAGGCAACCACGCGTTTCTATTCATCCTTGGGCCACAGCTGGCTATGATTGACAGCCAGAGGCGGAAGGAGGCGGGTTTATGGGCTTACATTTCTGCCATAATTCTGCGCGCGAAAGATCATATTTTGAGCACACAAAAGTGCATTTTGCACGCGCGCGATCTGAGTTTGTGGAGAAAATGTTCGTTTCGCAAAGAAAAAAGTCTTTCGAGCGCACGGAAATCAATTTTGCATTTAAAATACGTTTTTGGATGTGTGCAGACCTTCTCTTTTGCGCGTGCAACGTTCACTTTCACTTATCAAAGCTGTGAAAACCTCCATTACACGACATTTATGAATGTCCTCATTTATAAATTCAATACATAGTTTTTTGTATAATACTGCATATATAATATTATAATATAATATTTAGGGCTGTCGCGATTCGTCGATTTTATTAGACTATTAAATTGAAAAAAATCCTTGACTTCATTTTGCTTGCGTCGACTAACCGGCAAAATACCGGAAGTGGCGCATTTTATGGACGAGAATCCATAAAACACATTATTAGACTGTTTCCCAAGGCTGCATGATATATTAAACCCATTTAAAAATCATAATTAAGCATAATTGTAAATTCACAAATGCTACGATTTAATTAAATAATTATATGCGAAGCAGTTCTAATACAGTACATGCGTGTAGATTAAGTACGTGCGTCACACAGCGGCTCCCTTCACAGTAGTTCCACAGGAACTGTTATCATTTACATGTGTGGAGCGTCTCAAACTCCATCTCTGCATGTTGTTGTGAGTTTGGGTTTATTATAACGTTCATCTGGGAATGCAACGTGCGCCATATAAAATCATTTATAGATCTACACAAACACAGGAGAATACATCATTATCTCGAATTTTACATTTTAAAATTCTATAAAAATAGAAATGTTCTTTCGATTGGTAACAGTATTTCACTGTATTACTGTTTTATCTGTATTTTTGATCTGATAAATGCAGTGGTGCTGAGTATGAGACTTTTAAAGACATGGACAAATTTTACCTACTTTTACCTACACCATTTGCTGTGTAAACACAAGAAATTCCCAGGAGCTATGTTGGAAATGAGTAATTAGCTTATTTGTTTAATTTCAAATTAATTATTTTGTCTCAGTGTTTTTATGGATGGGGTGTTGAATCAAATTTGTTCACTGTTGAACTTGTATCATATCATCATGAATTGATTGATAGTTAGTAGTCAACATTGCTTGCTCAGTGTTTAAGATGTAGTGTGAAATGGCCTGAGTCTTGGCTTCAAGTAATAGGTGAACATTTCTGAATAGTTGACTTTGCCTTGCTGTCACTTTTACAGACATTAATTGCTGAATTTAAATAATCCCACTTAATGTAATCTTACATCATGTGTGTATTTTCCGCAGAGTGATCCCGAGACCTTGTTGAAA